CTGTTTGGTCCAATTGACCAGTTGGACCAACTGGCCGGTTGGACCAACTGGCCTGTTGGTCCAATTGGCCCGTTGGTCCAATGGAACGGTTGGACCAACTGGCTTGTTGGTCCAGTGGACCAGTTGGATCAACTAGCTTGATGGTCCACTGGACTGGTTGGAACAACTGGCTCGTTGGTCCTATTCACCGGTTGGATCACCTGGCCCGTTGGTCCAATGGACCGGTTTGACCAACTGGCCTGTTGGTCCAATGCTTCGGTTGGACCAACTGGCCTGTTTGGTCCAATGCTCCTGTTGGACCAACCTTCTTGTTGGTCCAATGGACCGGTTGCACCAACTGGCCTGTTGGTCCAATGGACCGGTTGGACGAACTGGCCTATTGGTCCAATGGACCGGTTGTATCAACTGACCTGTTGGTCCAATGGACCGGTTGGACCAACTGGCAAGTTTGGTCCAATTGATAGGTTGGACCAACTATCCCTTTGGACCAATGTTCCGGCAAGGCCAACTGGCCTGTTTGGTCCAAAGGACCAGTTGGACCAACTGGCCTGTTGGTTCAATGACCTGTTGTACCAACTGGCTTGTTTGGTTAAATAAAGGCCTCTTGGTCCAATGGACGGGTTGGATCAAACTGGCTTGTTGGTCCAATGGACCGGTTGGACCAACTAGCCTGTTTGTGCAATGGACAAGTTGGGCCAACTCGCCTGTTGGTGCAATGGACCGGTTGGACCAACTGGGCTGTTTGGTCCAATGACCGGTTGTACTAACTGGCCTGTTTGGTTAAATTAATGCCAGTTGGTCCAATGGACGGGTTGGACCAAACTGGCCTGTTGGTCCAATGGACCGGTTGGACCAACTAGCCTGTTGGTCCAATGCTCCGGTTGGAGCAACTGGGCTGTTTGGTCCAATGGACCGGTTGGACCACCTGGCCCGTTGGTCCAATAGACCGGTTGGACCAACTGGCTTGTTGGTCCAATGGACCAGTTGGATCAACTGGCCTGTTGGACCAATGGACTGGTTAGGACAACTAGCCTGTTGGTCCAATGGACCGTCTCGACCAACTGGCTCGTTTGTCCAAGTGACCGGTTGGGCCATCTGGCCCGTTGGTCCAATGGACCGGTTTGACCAACTAGCATGTTGGTCCAATGCTCTGGTTGGACCAATTGGCCTGTTTGGTCCAATTCTCCGGTTGGACCAACTTGCTTGTTGGTCCAATGGACCGGTTGGACCAATTGGCCTGTTGGTCCAATGGACCAGTTCGACCAACTGGTCTGTTGGTCCAATGGACTGGTTGTACCAACTAACCTGTTTGTCAAATGGACCGGTTGGACCAAGTGGCCTGTTTGGTCCAATTGATAGGTTGGACCAACTGGCCTGTTTGGTCCAATTGTCACCGCATATGCACCTAATGCATATGCAATAACAGTAGGATGATGGTGCAAGGGGGACTTGTAGTGGCTGTTATGGGAACATTAGCTAGTTATAAGAGTATTAGTTAGGAATCAGTTGTAGATGTAGAACGTAGGAAAGTTATTGTTAGGGAGGGGTGTAGAAAGGGGGAAATTGGATGAGAGCGGTTGGGATTGCGAGGGAAAAGGCACTGAAGGGCGAAATAGGAAGCCAAGCAGTCCCAACCCCGAGCCGCACTTTTGGGAATGTGCAGCTTGGGGTTGGGTAAGGGCAGTCACAGCCAACCCCTCGATGCTTTCGTGCTGTTATTCTCTCATATTAGTGGAAAGCTATTACCTCTGATCTAGCATCCGGTGGCACGCCACTAGGGGAGGACCTACGGGGTGAGGGAGGAAACTCGTTCATAACAGCACGAAAGCCCATCGAGCGGTTCGAGCAAATAGCATAGAATGGACTGCCACGAGCTGCGCTGGCAGCGGACAGACTCGCGACGGGAAATCTTGCCGTCGCGGAGAATGCGCTCACGGGAGCATGGGAGATCACTTGAGCGTTCGCCACGGAGGGCGGCGTACGGCGCGGATTTGGTGACGCCCGTCGGTGGGCGAGCTGAAGGTGTCAGGTCGGAGCCCAGGATGGGCAGTGACCCGCGGATTCTGGCAGGAGGCCAGCGCGGAACGGGTGTAAGGCGTCGCGACGGTGTGGACGGGGTAGATTCGTCCGATTCGGCAAGCGAGGCTGACGGCGCGGAAGAAGCAGACGGCGCGGAAGAAGCAGACGGTGCGGAAGAAGCAGACTGCGCGGAAGAAGCAGACGGCGCGGAAGAAGCAAACGGCGCGGAAGAAGCGGACGGCGCGGAAGGAGCAGACAGCGCGGAAGAAGCAGACGGCGCGGAAGAAGCAGACGGCGCGGAAGAAGCAGACGGCGCGGAAGAAGCGGACGGCGCAGAAGGAGCAGACGGCGCGGGAGAAGCAGACGGCGCGGAAGAAGCAGACGGCGCCATCCCGATGGCGCGGGATGGTGAGAGGGAGGAAGTGGCGGAAGAAGGGCGTGACGGAGAGAGCAAGGATGCGGGAGGAAATTGCTCGCCGGTAAGGATGCGCGGAGGCGGCGCGAAGCGTCACGGGAACATGACAACAGGGCGTTCGCCGGAAGACATGCGCAGGGGAAGCGTGAGGCGCTGCGGGAGCACGGATGCAAACGGATTGGCAGACGAAGGGCGTGAAGAGGGCGCGAGGCACCGCGGGGGCGCGAATGCAGACGGGTTGGCAGACGAAGGGCGCGGGGGCGCGGATGCAGATGGTACGGTGGACGAAATAGGTGGAAACAGCGTGAGGCACTGCGGAGGCAAGGATGCAGGTCGCTCGGCAGACGAAATGCGAGGTGGCAGCGCAAGGCGCCGCGGGAGAGCGGATGCAGACAGCTCGCCAGAACGGATGCGCGGGAGTGGCGGGAGGCGCCAAGGGAACATGGTGGCAGATCGTTCGCCAGAGGAGGTGCTCGAGGGAGATGCGAGGCGCCGCGGAACCGCAGCGGCAGGTCGCTCGCCGGACGATCTTCGGGAGGACAGCAGGAAAAACCATGCGCCAACGGGACGGTACAGCTCGCCTGAGCTGCGAGGACGTGGGAGGAGACGCGTGGCGATGGCCGCGCGGCGATCGCCAGAGGTGCGGAGGGAGCAGTATGAGCGAGGGAGATTGGCAGGTCAACGGGGGCCTGCTGTTTGGGGGAGAGAGAGACAGAGAGAGAGAGGTGAGGAGCAACGTGGGCGACGGGAGAGTAAGCCAGAGGAAGAAAGGGGCAGACGAGCAGGTCCGGACGGGGAGCGAGGGGATTGTGAGGAAAGAGATGGGTGGTGCTCACCAGAGAGAGGAGGGGGGCGTGAGGAGGGACGCATCAGGGAGGGTGCACGACGATCGCTGGGCGCAACAAGGGCAGAAGAAAGGGGGAGAGGGAACCGACGGCGGCGGGAAGATGTGGAGCGAGAAAGGCGGTATCAGGAGCACTCGCATGATGGGAAGGAAAGGCGGTGGGACGGAGCAGAGAAGCGGAGAGCGGCTTACGAGAGAGAGCGAGGAAGGAGTCCGAGTACAAGGGGCCCGAGGGGGCGATGGCAATCAGGAGGAGGATCCGAAGGAGCCAGAGCGGCCAGAGAGGGGACAGAACGGGCGCTGTATGGGGCAAGCTCGGGCAGCAGGGGAACAAGGAAAAGGGGTGAAGAGAAGCAGAGTAGGCGACGGGAAATGATGCTTGCGCATGAAACGGAGAGTGAGGACGAAGGAGAGTGTGACGGACCTACGCGCCACAGGTCGGGCCGAAGGGAGGGGCGTTGGAAAGAACATTCCCCGGAGAAGAGGGAGAGACCAGGGTGGGGATCGGAGAGATATGGGGAGGCTCAAGAGAGAGAGGGGGGAAGGAGCATAGGTCCGACGTGGCGGAGAAGGCGGCAGCAGTCATGGGTAGGCGCTACGGGGGCAAGGGCAGCCAGGGAAGGAAGTGGTCGAGTGCTGTATGGGACAGAGTCAAGAAGCAGAGAGTTGAGGGAGAGGAGAGGAGAGAGTAGCAGGAGGAATGAGAGCTCAGGGACTTGGGAGACAGGGAGGTGGAGTGCGCAGGCCCCACCTCAGGTGGAGGTGCCAGTGCGCTTTACGGGGGGAGCAGGGTCAGACACAAACCTGAAGAATTACCTGATGCAAATCGGTAATGTGAAGTACCGCTGCGACAGGAGTGGGATGGACCCGATAGAGTTTTTCTTGAGCCTACCGAACACGCTGGGAGGCGAAGCTGAGACGCTATATCGTATGAAGATGAAGGAATGGCTGAGGAGGGCAGAGGAGGAGGATGAGGACCCAACCACTCTGTTCCTAGAGCGGCTGCGGAAGCAGTTTCCAGGGCACACGGCGGAGAGGGTGAGAGAATTTCAGGAATTCCAGCGAGGGAGGGCCGAGTCACTGCTCACCTACTACGGTAGGTTGACGGATCGGGCGGAAGACGTGGTGTGCACAAATGGCAGCATGCGTATAAGCAAGTTCCTGGGGGGTCTGGATGAGGGATTGAGCGGCGGGCTGAGAATGAGAGTGTATGAGTTGGGAGCTGAAGCAACGCTGGAGGAGGTGTTTGAGTTGGCAGAGAGAGTGGAGCTGGCGCAGAGGCGGTATGAGGCGTACCTGCCGAGGGTGTTAGAGAAAGGGCGGCCCAGGTGGGCTGCAGCGATGATAACCGAGGACGGGGGTGGGGAGGAGCAGTGGCAGGAGAGGCGAGCAGAAACACGGACGTGCCACAGGTGCGGGCAGGAGGGGCATATCAGGAGGGAGTGCAAGAACTGTGATGTGTGCGGAAAGCCTGGGCACCGACGGAGGGACTGCCCAGATGCACCGAGCTGTGAGGTGTGTGGGAATCGGGCAAGATACTACTATGAGAAAGGAAGGGATGCAAGGAGATCACCCAAGGAGATCGAGGAACAGATCGAACAGTTACGAGCCCAACTGCAGGCACTGGGAGAAAGAACTCAGGGGCAAGCGGGGTTGTACGCGGAGGAGGAAGAGGGGCAGGAGCCAGAACACTCCGGTGCGGTGCTGCGTGGCCATGCAGACATGTGGCTGCGCAGTGGGGGCAGGGACATACGAAGGGAGCTAGTGAGTAAGGTGGGGGCATGGGCGTGTATGTCAGTAACACCAGCAGCAGCGGGAGCAGAGGAGCAGGACGAGCAGGCGGGGGCAGGAGCGTGCGTACCAGCAGCAGCGGGAGCGGAGGAGCGGGATGAGCAGGTGGGGTCAGAAGCGTACGTACCAGCAGCAGCGGGAGCGGAGGAGCGGGATGAGCAGGTGGGGGCAGAAGCGTGCGTACCAGCAGCAGCAGGAGCGAAGGAGCGGGATGAGCAGGTGGGGGCAGAAGAGTGCGTCCCAGCAGCAGCAGGAGCGAAGGAGCGGGATGAGCAGGTGGGGGCAGAAGCGTGCGTGCCAGCAGCAGCGGGAGCGGAGGAGCGGGATGAGCAGGTGGGGGCAGAAGCGTGTGCATTAGCAGCGGCGGAAGCGGGAGGGAAGAACGAGAAGGTGGGGGCATGGTCGGGTGTACCAGTGGCAGCAGAAGCGGAAGGGAGGGAAGGGAAGGTGGGGGCACAGGCGGGCATGACAGCAGTAGCGGAAGCGGAAAGCGGGGCAGTGAAGGTGGGGGCACAGGCGTGCATGACATCAGTAGCGGAAGTGGAAAGCGGGGCAGTGAAGGTGGGGGCACAGGCGGGCATGACAGCAGTAGAGGAAGCGGAAAGCGGGGTAGTGAAGGTGGGGGCACAGGCGGGCATGACAGCAGTAGCAGAAGCGGAAAGCGGGGCAGTGAAGGTGGGGGCACAGGCGTGCATGACAGCAGTAGCGGAAGCGGAAAGCGGGGCAGTGAAGGTGGGGGCACAGGCGTGCAAACCAGAAGTAGCAGAAGCGGCAGGTAGGGAAGAGAAGGAGAGAGCACAGGCGTGCGCAGCAGCAGCAGCGGAAACGGAAGAGGAAAGGTAAGAAGAGAAGTTGGGGGGCACAGGCGTGTGCAGTAGCAGCACCAGAAGAGGAAGGGAAAGAAGCGAGGTTGGGGGCACAGGCGTGTGCAGTAGCAGCAGCAGAAGAGGAAGGGAAAGACGAGAATTTGGGGGGCACAGGCGTGTGTAGTAGCAGCAGCAGAAGAGGAAGGGAAGGAGAGAAGTTGGGGCACAGACGTGTGCAGCGGCAGCAGCAGAAGAGGAAAGGAAGGAAGAGACGTTGGGGACACAGGCGTGTGCAGCAGCAGCAGCAGAAAAGGAAGGGAAAGAAGAGAATTTGGAGACACAGGCGTGTGGAGCAGCAGCAGAAGAAGAGGAAGGGAAGGAAGAGAAAGTAGGGGCACCTGAGTGTGTAGCAGCAGATGCGGAGGCGGGAGTGGAGGATGAGGAGGGAGGATGGGCAGGGTGGACTGCAAAGGAAGGATCTAAGTGGACGGTGGGGGGGGGGGCCAATGAGCGGGCAGGGGAGGGAGGTCACACTCGTGACACAGACAGTGGGAACAGGAGGGGTGGAGAATGGTGTGGCATTGGTAGAAACCAGGGCAAGGTACCTGAAGGAAGGACTGCCGGCAGCACGGGAGAACTTACAGACAGTGCAGCTGAGAGATGCACACAGGCCAGAGGAGCGGCTGCAGCAGGGCTGCACCAAGCACAAGGGCGGCAGAAGGAGTGAGACAGGAAGTCTACCCCTCGGGAGGACAGAAGGATACTCTGGAACAGGAAGTGGTGCTGGGCACACAGAGAAGGAGGGCGACGAATCTGAGGGGGCGGGAGTGCTGTATCAGAGAGTGGGCGAAGAGAGAAGACAGGGGACCACCAATACTGCAGTGGTGAGAAGTACCCCGGCCTCAGCAAGAGTGTCCAGTGCCTCGTGCACGGGAGACCCGAGCACGAGCTCTGGAGGGGGCATGTGGTGGCTGAGGCAGAGAAGGGAAGGTATCACGGGAACAGGGCAGAGGGAAGAAGGGAGGGAGGATGAGTGCCGGGAGGAGAGGGCAGGCCATGGGAGGAAACAGAGGAGGGGGCAGTGGTACGAGTGAGGCATCTCCAAGAGGGTCCTGTGACACGAGCTCAAGCGGCTAGAGCACGAGCACAGGAGGGGGCAGCGGTTGAGTGAGGCTTTGCAACACGGAGAAGGGAGGAAGCAGAGAGACAGCAGGAGAAGAGCAGGTGCAGGAAGAAGAGCAGGAGCAGGGAGAAGAGTAGGTGCGAGGAGCAGAGCATGGGCTGGGAGAAGGAAGGTTCTCCGACAGCTGTCACCGCATATGCACCTAATGCATATGCAATAACAGTAGGATGATGGTGTAAGGGGGACTTGTAGTGGCTGTTATGGGAACATTAGCTAGTTATAAGAGTATTAGTTAGGAATCAGTTGTAGGTGTAGAACGTAGGAAAGTTACTGTTAGGGAGGGGTGTAGAAAGGGGGAAATTGGATGAGAGCGGTTGGGATTGCGAGGGAAAAGGCACCGAAGGGCGAAATAGGAAGCCAAGCAGTCCCAACCCCGAGCCGCACTTTTGGGAATGTGCAGCTTGGGATTGGGTAAGGGCAGTCACAGCCAACCCCTCGATGCTTTCGTGCTGTTATTCTCTCATATTAGTGGAAAGCTATTACCTCTGATCTAGCATCCGGTGGCACGCCACTAGGGGAGGACCTACGGGGTGAGGGAGGAAACTCGTTCATTGTGGTGGCTGAGGCAGAGAAGGGAAGGTATCACGGGAACAGGGCAGAGGGAAGAAGGGAGGGAGGATGAGTGCCAGGAGGAGAGGGCAGGCCATGGGAGGAAACAGAGGAGGGGGCAGTGGTACGAGTGAGGCATCTCCAAGAGGGTCCTGTGACACGAGCTCAAGCGGCTAGAGCACGAGCACAGGAGGGGGCAGCGGTTGAGTGAGGCTTTGCAACACGGAGAAGGGAGGAAGCAGAGAGACAGCAGGAGAAGAGCAGGTGCAGGAAGAAGAGCAGGAGCAGGGAGAAGAGTAGGTGCGAGGAGCAGAGCATGGGCTGGGAGAAGGAAGGTTCTCCGACACAATGCTCCGGTTGGACCAACTGGCCTGTTGGACCAATGGACCGGCAAGACCAACTGGCCTATTTGGTCTAATGGACCAGTTGGACCAACTGGCCTGTTGGTCCAATGGACCGGTTGGGCCAACTGGCCCGTTGGTCCAAAGGACCGGCTAGACCAACTCGCGTGTTTGGTTCAATTGACCGGTTGGACAAACCGATTGGTTGGACCAATTGGCTCGTTGGTCCAATGGACTGGTTGGACCAACTGGCTTGTTGGTCCAATGGACCGGTTGGATCAACTGGCTTGTTGGTCCAATAGACCGGTTGTATCAACTGGCCTGCTGGTCCAATGGACCTGTTGGACCAACTGACCCGTTGGTTCAATGACCGGTTGGACCAACTGGCCTACTTGGTTTAATAAAGGCCTTGTGGTCCAATGGACTGGTTGGGCCAACTGGCCTGTTGGTCCAATGGTCCGGTTGGGCCAACTGGCCTGTTGGTCCAATGGGCCGGTTGCGCCATCTGGCCCGTTGGTCCAAAGGACCGGCTAGACCAACTGGCCTGTTTGGTCCAATTGACCCATTAGACAAACTGGATGGTTGGACTAATTGGCTCGTTGGTCTATTGGACTGGTTGGACCAACTGGCTTGTTGGTCCAATGGACCGTTTGGATCAACTGGCTTGTTGGTACAATGGACCGGTTGGATCAACTCGCTTGTTGGTCCAATGGTTCGGTTGGACCAACTGGCCTGTTGGTCCAATGACCGGTTGGACCAACTGGCCTATTTGGATTAATAAAGGCATTGTGGTCCAATGGACCGGTTGGGCCAACTGGCCCTTTGGTCCAATGGACCAGTTGGGCCAACTGGCCTGTTGGTGCAATGGACCAGTTGGACCAACTGCCCTGTTGGTCCAATGGACCGGTTGGACCAACTGGCCTGTTCGTCCAATGACCGGTTGTACCAACTGGCCTGTTTGGTTAAATAAAGGCCTGTTGGTCCAATGGTCGGGTTGGACCAAACTAGCCTGTTGGTCCAATGGACCGGTTGGACCAACTGTCCTGTTGGGCCAATGCTCTAGTTGGAGCAACTGGGCTGTTTGGTCTAATGGACCGGATGGACCACCTGACCCGTTGGTCCAATAAATGGGTTGGACCAACTTGCCTCTTGGTGTCATGGACCGTTTGGACCAACTGGCTTGTTTGGTCCAAAGGAGGCCTGTTTGTCCAATCGACCGGTTGGTCCAACTGGCTTGTTTGGTCCATGCTCTGGTTGGACAAACTAGCCTTTTGCTCCAATGGACCGGTTGGACCAACTAACCTGTTGGTCCAATATACCGGTTGGACCAACTGGCCTGTTGGTCCAATCGACCGTTTGGACAAACTGGCTTGTTGGTCCAATGGACCTGTTGGTCCACTGGAACGGTTGGACCAACTGGCCTGTTAGTCCAATGTACCTACTCGACCAACTGGCCCGTTGGTCCAATGGACCTGTTGGACCAACTGACCTGTTGGTCCAATGCTCTGGTTGGACCAACTAGCCTGTTGGTCCAATGGACGAGTGGGACCAACTAGCCCGCTCGTCCAAAGGACCAATAAGACCAACTAGCCTGTTTGGTCCAATGGACCGGTTGGACCAACTAGCCTGTTAGTCCAATGGATAGATTGGGCCAACTAGCCCGTTGGCCCAATGGACCGGTTGGGCCAACTGGCCCGTTGGTCCAATGGGCCGGCTGGCCAAACTAGCCCGTTGGTTCAATGGACCAGCTAGACCAACTAGCATGTTTGGTCCAATTGACCGGTTGGACCAACTGGCCTGTTGGTCCAATGGACACGTTGGACTAACTGGCTTGTTGGTCCAATGGACCGGCTAGACCAACTGGCCTGTTTGGTCCAATGGACTGATTGGACCAACTGGCCTGTTGGTCCAATGGACCGGTTGGACCAACTAGCCAGTTGATCCAATGAACCAGTTGGGCCAACTGGCCCGTTGGTCCAATGGTCCAGCTAGACCAACTGCCTAATTGGTCCAATTGACCAGTTGGACCAACTGGCTCGTTGGTCCTATTCACCGGTTGGATCACCTGGCCCGTTGGTCCAATGGACCGGTTTGACCAACTGGCCTGTTGGTCCAATGCTTCGGTTGGACCAACTGGCCTGTTTGGTCCAATGCTCCGGTTGGACCAACCTTCTTGTTGGTCCAATGGACCGGTTGCACCAACTGGCTTGTTGGTCCAATGGACCGGTTGGACGAACTGGCAAGTTGGTCCAATGGACCGGTTGTATCAACTGACCTGTTTGTCCAATGGACCGGTTATACCAACTGTCCAGTTTGGTCCAACTGATAGGTTGGACCAACTGGCCTGTTTGGTCTAATGCTCCGGTTGGACCAACTATCCCTTTGGACCAATGTTCCGGCAAGGCCAACTGGCCTGTTTGGTCCAAAGGACCAGTTGGACCAACTGGCCTGTTGGTCCAATGACCTGTTGTACCAACTGGCTTGTTTGGTTAAATAAAGGCCTCTTGGTCCAATGGACGGGTTGGATCAAACTGGCTCGTTGGTCCAATGGACCGGTTGGACCAACTGGCCTGTTGGTTCAATGCTCCGGTTGGAGCAACTGGGCTGTTTGGTCCAATAGACAGGTTGGACCAACTTGCTTATTGGTCCAATGGACCGGTTGGACCAACTGGCCTGTTGGTTCAATGCTCCGGTTGGAGCAACTGGGCTGTTTGGTCCAATAGACAGGTTGGACCAACTTGCTTATTGGTCCAATGGACCGGTTGGACCAACTGGCCTGTTGGTGCAATGGACCAGTTGGGCCAACTCGCCTGTTGGTGCAATGGACCGGTTGGACCAACTGGCCTTTTGGTCCAATGGACCGGTTGGACCAAATGGCCTGTTGGTCCAATGGACCGGTTGGACCAACTGGCCAGTTGGTCCAATGCTTCGGTTGGAGCAACTGGGCTGTTTGGTCCAATGGACCGGTTGGACCACCTGGCCCGTTGGTCCAATGGACCGGTTAGACCAACTGGCTTGTTGGTCCAATGGACCAGTTGGATCAACTGGCCTGTTGGTCTAATGGACTGGTTGGGACAACTGGCCTGGTTGTCCAATGGACCAGCTCGACCAACTGGCTCGTTGGTCCAATGGACCGGTTGGATCAACTGTCTTGTTGGTCCAATAGACCAGTTGGATCAACTGGCTTGCTGGTCCAATGGACCGGTTGGACCAACTGTCCTGTTGGTCCAATGACGGGTTGGACCAACTGGCCTATTTGGTTCATTAAAGGCCTTGTGGTCCAATGGACCGGTTGGGCCAACTGGCCTGTTGGTCCAAT